CCGCGGATCTGCGTGAGGGGTGGCACCGAATTGCAGAAATGTGGCAAATCCCTTGTGTTGTTGGACCCTGACCCCGCGGATCTGCGTGAGGGGTGGCGATTTCGAGCCCCCTCAGCAATTCAGACAACGCGCCCAGGTGAGGCTAAAAATCTTGTTTGGGCCTCCCCCCCCCTCGCGCGGTCAATCAACTAGTTACAGCAACCAGCAAGAAGTCAACTAGTTACAGTAACCAGCAAGAAGCAGAACTGTAACACTGGAAACTACAACCTACGACTGGTACAGGAAACTGCGAATCACGTGCCTACAGCCTGGTGGCCCCACAAGGGGGCCGGCGGATTTTACTACTACGACTACGACTACGACTACTACTACTGCTACTACTACTACTACTCCTACGACTACTACTACTACTACTACTACTACTACTACTACTACTTCTACTTCTTCTAGCACTACTATTATTACTACTACCTACTACTACTACTACTACTACTACTACTACTAACTACTACTACTACTACTACTAACTACTATTAACTACTACTACTAACTACTACAACTACTACTCACTACTATACTACTACTACTACGCTAATACTACTACGATTACGACTACTCCTACTGACTACTACTACTACTACCCTACTACTACTACTCTACTACTGCTACTTACTCTGCTGCTACTACTACTATCGCTACTACTACTACTACTACTACTACTAACTACTGCTACACTACTACTACTACTACTACTACTACTACTACCACTATACTACGAGTACTACTACTACTACTACTACTACACTACTACTACTACGCTACGACTACTACACGACTACTACTACTCCTACTACACTATTTTACTACTACTAGTACTACTACTACTACTACTACGCTGCGGTTTGCTGCTACTACTACTATCGCGACTATCTAACCACCGACTACTCTGCCAGCTACTACGACTAAGAATACTATTCATAACTACTACTACTACTACTACGACGACGACACTACTACGTACTACTACTACTACTACTACTACTACGACGACGACGACTACTACTACTACTACTACGACTACTACTACTATTACGACTACTACTACTACTACTGTTGCTACTACTACTTCGACTACTCCTACGACTACGACTACGACTGCAACTACTACCACCACTACTACTACTACCACCACCACTACCACTATCATTTCTACCTACTACTACTACCACTACTACTACTACTACTATTAAGACTACTACGCACCACGACTACTACTACTACTACTACTACTACTACTACTACTACTACTACTACGACTACTACTACTACTACTACCACTACTACTACTACTACGACTACTACTAATTTTACGACTACTACTACTACTACGACTACTACTACTACTACTACTACTGCTACTACTGCCACTACTACTACTACTACTACTACTCCTACGAATACGATTACTACCATTACTACTACTACTACTATCGCTACTACTACCACTACTACTACTGCTACTACTACGACTACTACTACTACTACTACTACTACTACTACTACGACTACTACTACTATTACGACTACTACTACTACTACTACTTCGACTACTACTACTGCTACTATTGCTAAAACTACGACTACTACTTCTACGACTACTACTACTACTACTACTACTACTACTACTACTACTACGACTACTGCTACTACTACGAATACTATTGCTACTACGAATACTACTACGACTACTACTACGACTACTACTACTACAACTACTACTACTACTAGTAAGACTACTACTACTACTACTACTACTACTACGACTACTTCTACTACTACTACTACTACTACTACTACTACTGCTGTTGCTGCTACTACTACTATCGCTACTACTACTACTGCTATTACTACGACTACTACTACTACTACTACCACTACTACTACTACTACTTCGACTACTCCTACTAGTACTACTACTACTACTACTACTATTACTACTACGACTACTACTACTACTACTACTACTACGACTACTACTTCGACTACGACTACTCCTACGACTACGACTACGACTGCTACTACTACCACCACTACTACTACTACTACGACCACCACTACCACTATCATTTCTACTACTACTACTGCTACTACTACTACTACTACTACTACTACTACTACTACTACTACCACTACTACCACTACTACTACTACTACTACTACTACTACTACTACTACTACTAAGACTACTACGCACTACGACGACTACTACTACTACTACTACTACTACTACTACTACTACGATTACAGCTACTACTACTACGACTACGACTACGACTACGACTACTACTACTACTATTACTATTACTACTACTACTACTACTACTACTACTACTACTACTACTACTACTACTACTACGACTACGACTACGACTACGATTACTACGACTATAACTACTACTACTACTACTACTACTACTACTACTACTACTACTACTACTACTACTACTACTACTACTACTACTACTACTACTACTACCACGACTACGACTACGACTACGACTACGACTACTACGACTACGACTACTACTACGACTACTACTGCGACTACTACTACTACTGCGACTACTACTACTACTACTACTACTACTACTACTACTACTACTACTACTAGTCCTCCTTCATCATTACCTTCTTTGTCCTCCTGCTCACCCTCCACCTCATGTGCGCAGTTCCTGTTTTTTCGATACGCGTTGCACGATGGGTTCTTTATATTGAAGTTCCAGGTCGGCTATGACACGCGTCCGCAATAAGGAAAAAAACAACAGCTAACGAAAAAAACGCAATGGGAAGGGATGGGGGGGAGGGATAGGATGCCGGATGTGGCGCGAGCGCACCTAGCTTGCTTTGCCCCGTTCTCGCTCCCCCTCTCGCTCCCCCTCCCCTCTCACCCCCCCCAACCCGCCCTCATCGCTCAAGGGCGCCCTCGAGGGCGCGCAGTGATCCGCTCTTCGCGCTTCGACCAGCGCGAGGGCGTGAAGTCTGGCGCCCTCGTCGCTCCCCCCCGGCCGGCCGCGGCCCCGAGGAGATCGTCATCCTGCTGACCGAGGCGCCCGTGGGGTTGAAGGAGGGCACAGAGGTCGCCCCGCCGCCGCCGAGGAGGAGGAGGCGGAGATGGAGGAGAAGGAGGAGGAGGGGGGGGACGACGACGACGACGACGTCGACGACGAGACGATTACGAGGAGTACACGTTGGACACGAGTAGGACGAGGCGGGAAGGACAAGGGAGAGACGGATCAATCGAAAACGAGTGTGTGTGTGAGAGAGATAGAGTGGGCGGGGAGGGAAAAGGGAAGGTGCGTCAACGACTTGCATGTCTTCGGGGGCTGTGAAGGTCTTCGTGGGGGTCTTCGTGATCTTCTCCCCCCTCCTAGCCATCCCTGCTCGTCCTTGGTCATCATCTTCTTCCCCATCGTCACCTTCGCCCTCTCTTCAACATCCCTGCACATCGTTGTCCCCTCACACCGCAGCTGCGGCGTCCTCCCCTGTCCCCTCATGGGCCCCGAGGGATTGGCTTGTGCAGCACTGCGTTGGGAGATCTTGGCCCAGTCCCATGTCTTCTTGTGTTTCTGCCATCTAGTTGAGACCATGGCTCCAGGTGCCCGATGCCAATCTTGAGCGAGCAGAATCCTCCTTTTTCATGTTTCTCATCTTTATCACCCTCATCCTCAGCATCATGCCGCAGGGCTCGAGCTTAACGGTGTTTCGGCAAATTCGTGGACCGCGTTCGTTTTGATTTCGTTTCGTGGCAAAGGCAGAATGAAGACAGAACGAAGGACAACGAAAACAAAACGTAAACGAATAACACTGTTTAGCTCTAGCCATGCCATGCCGCTTCCGCTCTCGTTCCACTCGCCCTCTGCTTGCTCGTCCTCTTCCGCCTCCTTGCTTCCCTCCGTCCCTCGCCTCCCTCCCCCTCTCCTTCCCGTTCCCCTCCCCTCCTTCCTTGGCCTTGGCCCCCCTTCCTCCGATCCCATCCTCCTTGGCTCACCTTTCTCTCGCTCGCTCCCTCCCTCCCCCCCCTCTGCTCCGCCGATCCCTTTCCCCCTGCCTCGCTCCTCCCACCCCCCCTCCTTCGCTTCGCCTCGGCTCCCCTCCCGGCTTCTGGGCGCTGCTGCAGGCGGATACGGCCCTCTGGACGCGGCTGGCTCGCCCCCCTCGCCCTTGGCCCCCTCGCTCCCTCGGCACGGACGAGGTTCGCCGGAGGCTCGGTTCGCCGGAGGCTCGGTTCGCCATTGCTTGGCCCGCCAGGGCTCGTTCCGACGGGGTCTGCTTCGCCCGATTCGCTTCGCCCGGCTCGGTTCGCCGAGACCCGGATCGCGCGGCTTCGGTGCGCCCGACTCGGTTTCGCCGGGGCCCGTGTCGCCGAGGCTCGCTTCGCCGGGGCCCGTTTCACTGCAGGGGGAGGAGGAGCTGGAGGAGGAGCTGGAGGAGGAGCTGGAGGAGGAGGAGGAGGAGGAGGAGGAGGAGGAGGAAGAGGAGGAGGAGGAGGAGGGGGAGGAGGAGGAGGAGGAGGAGGAACAGGGGGAGGAGGATTCGCCGGGGCTCGCTTTGCCGGGCGGGCGGGCCCTGGTTGGCGGGCGGGTCGGGTCGGGCGGGCGGGCCCTGACGGGCGGGTCGGCGGGCGGGCGGCCGCCGCCTCGTCGAGGGCCGGAGCCGGGCGAGCCGAGTCGGGCCAGTCGAGCCCGGCGGACCGAGCCCGGCGAATCGAGCTGGGCGAATCGAGGCTCGGGCGGAGTGAGCTCGGGCGAAGAGAAATATGCACATGCACCGATCTTGGCCATGCCCATCCTTGGCCCAGGATCAGTGCATAGGCTCTCCTGGCCCAGGCAGGAGGGCGTATGCACCGATCCTGCGCTCAGGGTGGGCCTGGCCAGAATCGGTGCATGTGCATACTTCTCGTTCCTCTATGAGCGTGGGCGAAATCGAGCCGGGCGAATCAAGATTTCGGCGGGCGAATCAAGCCTACGCCGTTGCCTCGCCCTCTTCCGGGGACTCCGCCTATTCTCTCCCCTCGCCCTACACGGTGGAGGTTGACGAGCAGGTCGACCCTGCCAGATCAAGGGTACCCTTGCGTCCTGTGCATTCGCGACCCATGCCTTCTGCACTCCTGTTGCCCTTTGACCTTCGGAAGGGTCTTGGGCCACCTTGCGTGTCCTCTCCGAGCTTCCCCGACTATACTTCCCCCCCATACTCCTCCTGCCTCGTCATCGTCCGCCTCCTCCTCCTCCTCCTCCTCCTCCTCCTCCTCCTCCTCCTCCTCCTCCTCCTCCCCCTCCTCCTGCTCCTCCTCCTCCTCCTCCTCCTCCTCCTCCTCCTCCTCCTGCTGGGCGCTGTGCTTACCCCCCGCCCGAGCAGCAGCAGCATGAGCAGGTCGCCATCGAGCTCGGCAGCGCGCCGGGCAGCGGCGCCGCGCCGGAGCCGGCGCCGCGGCCGCCCCTCCGCTCGGCTGGGCCGGCGGGGCCAGGGAGGGTGCAGTTCGGGAGCCTCGAGACCCAGACATCGGGCGTCTCGAAAAAATCGAGACAAAGGTTTTTCATCGTTTTCGGCCTCTGGAGGCCTTCGCCGGGCCTCGGGACCGTCAAAAAACGACTCGGGATGAAAAACCGGTCCCGGGGAAGTGGTCGGGAGGTTGGGGGCCCGTGTCTCGAAAAAATCGAGACGTCGGATGTCTGGGGACGGGGGTCAGGGGGTCCGTCGCGACTTCTTCATGGCCCGAGGGGGGTCTGGGGAGCCCGGCTCCCTCCCCGCGGCCAGCGCGGCCGCGCCCGCGCCCCGAGGCGGCGCGGTGGCCGCCTCGCCCCCCTCCAGCAGCGCCTCCCCGCGCCGCCCCGCGGGGAGCAGCCCCGCCGCGCGCGCCAGCAGCGCGCCCAGGGGCGCGAGCAGCCAGCGCAGGGGCCCTGCCAGCGCCGCCTCGCCGAGCCACGCCTCGCCGAGCCCCGCCCGCCTCCGGGGCCGCCGCCGGCCTCATCGCGAACGGGGGTCCGCCAGAGCGCCCGATCTTGCAGGATCCTGCAGGGCCAGGGGCGCACTGACCCCGGTTTGGGTGCAGGATCCTGCCGGATCTTGCAGGATCCTTCGCGTTGACCCGGGTTTGGGTGTAGTCGAAGCGTTGCCATTATCATAAGGAGCCCCAAAGAAGGAACGAGGCCCCTCTTTTCCCTGAGTCAACAGTCGATGTCCCGTTGAAAGCAGAAGGAGCACCCAAGAACAAGAAAGGGAGGGTGCAGTTCGGGAGCCTTGAGACGGGGGTCAATGCAAACGGGGGTCCGCCAGAGCGCCCGATCTTGCAGGATCTTGCAGGGCCAGGGGCGCACTAACCCGGGTTTGGGTGCAGGATTCTGCAGGATGATGCAGGATCCTTCGCATTGACCCGGGCTTGGATGCAGGACCCAGCAGGATTCTGCGAGGCTTGGCTGACCCGGGTCTGGATTGACCCGGGTCAGAAAATCCCCGAGCAGTCGAAGCTATGCCATGATCATAAGGAGCCCTAAAGAAGGAACGAGGCTTAAGTCGGGCGGGGCCCCCTACAGTGGGATTTTCGACGAAAAATAAAAATACTCAACAGATATTCCAAAATGGCCAAACAGATGTTAACAAATAGTCCCCAGACTAGTTTTTGACTATTCTTGAATGTTCCTCCTGTAGAGGGACGGGCCCGACTTAAAACGAGGCCCCTCTTTTCCCTGAGTTAACAGTCAATGTCCCGTTGAAAGCAGACGGAGCACCGAAGAACAAGTGTAACACAAGTGTTTACTCTTCGCGAGTCCCCATCAGCCCATTCAGAAGCCCTGCCCATGAGAGCTGACGGGAAAAGGGACGAAGAGACACATACAGTGAAATAGAGCGTGCAAGGAGAGGAGAGGAAGGAGGGTGGTGAGCCATTCTGGAGGCTACCTTGGAGCATCGGAGGTCTTCTTGGAGCTACGGGGCTGTATTGGGGGATATTAAGGGGTCCTCGTGAAGCTCTTTTGGGTCATCTTGGCCCTCTGGGGCTCTTTGGGGTCTTGGTGTCCTCTTGGGGCTCTTTTGGGGCGCCTTGGGGCCCTCATGGGGCTCTCTTGGGGCCCTCTTGGGAGCTACGGAGCGCCTCCTGGGGCCATCTTGGAGACCATCGATCAGAGGAAGGGAGGTCATAAATTTGCCTCCCCCCGCCGGAGCCGTCGAAATAGCTTCTTGGGGCACTCTTCGGCCCCCTTGGGGCGCTCTTGGGGCAGTCTTGGAGGCCTCTTGGGCCCTTCTTGGAGCTCTCCTAGGCCACCTTAGGGCCATCTTGAGGCCTTAAAGCGCATCGGAAGCGAAAAGGCCAGAAGGCAACAATCAGTGAGTGTCCCTAGGTTTTTGAAGGATTTTGGCTTCTCGGGGAGGTACTGAAGGGTCGCCAAAAGCACCTGGAGCAGTCTTGTGGCCCTCTTGGGGCCTATTGGAGGTATGTTGGAACCCATCTCGAACGATCTTGCGGTATCTTCAGGCATATTGGAGGCCATCCTGGAGCATCGGAGGCCCTCTTAGAACCATTTTGGGCCATCTTGGGCCCTCTGACACCTCCGTCCCCTCCCCGTCCAGGTCCAGGGGAAGGGGGAGGGGGAGGGATCAAGCCACCCACCCGCCCGAAAGTTGTCCAGCTCACTCCCACCCGCCCCCGCAACACATAATCAACACCCGAGCCCGAGCATGTTCAGCGGTCGTCTTTGGATGGGCAGCTATTGGGAACCAAAGCCGACCCCAGGTGGGCCCGCATGGAGTCGGCATGGTTCCGGGTTGGCCGCCGGCCAGGTGGGGGAGGGGGTGTGCATTAATAAAGAACAGTGATCAAGCTACCCACCCGCCCGCAATCCATCTAGCTCATTCCCACCCGCCCTCCCAACACACGAGTAACGCCCGAGCCTGAGCATGTTCGGCCGTCGTCTTTGGATGGGCAGCTACTGGGAACCAAAGCCGACCCCAGGTGCGCGTGAAGCTCTTTTGGGTCATCTTGGCCCTCTGGGGCTCTTTGGGGTCTTGGTGTCCTCCCAACACACGAGTAACGCCCGAGCCCGAGCATGTTCAGCCGTCGCCTTTGGATGGGCAGCTATTGGGAACCAAAGCCGACCCCAGGTGCGCGACGCTTGGGGCGAGGGTGCGCCCCGCGGGCCGGGGGCGCCTGGTGCGCCAGATGCGCCACGTGCTCCGAGTGCGCCAGGTGTGCCGCACGCTCCAGCCTCCTCCTCCTCTTCCTCCTCCTCCTCCTCCTCTTCCTCCTCCTCCTCCTCCTCCTCCTCCTCCTCCTCCTCCTCCTCCTCCTCCTCCGCCTCCTCCTCCTCCCCCCGCACTCGTGCTCCGAGTGCGCCAGGTGTGCCGCACGCTCACTCCAGCCCCGCCAGGTTCGGGCCGGGCGAAAGGGGGGGATTGGGAAAGGGGGGGTTACGAAATTTGCTGCATGCAGCTGGTTTCGGCCTCACCGAGGGGCCCATTCCTCGATACATGGGCGCCTCCGGCGCCGGGAGGCGCCGGGAAAATCAGCTACGCGAGCTGATTCTCAAACCCCCCCTTTGCTATCCCCCCCCTTTCGCCCGACCCGACAGGTGCGGCATGTTCGGGGCACGTGCAGAGTGCGTCACGCACGTGACAGCACACATCGGGAAACATGTCGGCCCCGCATCACTGTCGAAAACCAATGCCCATCATTGTCAGCAGGCCCCTGCATCGCACAGCAGGCCACGCGCCACCCCCCCCGCTGTCCCTGTCAAGAACCACTTGACAATGATCGCGGGATGGCCGCGCATGATCGAGATTTGGCCGCGAGGTGCATGGTAAATTGTTTTTTGTCAGGGATGATAGCCCTGCTCACAGCAGGGAAAGTGCTGACACCCCCGCCGTCCCTATCCAAAACCATAGAAAGTGATCGCGGTGCATTGCTTTTTGACAGGGATGGTGGGGGGGCGTACCAGGTTGGCCGCGCATGCTCCAAATAAATGTGGAGGCGGAGTGCGGTTTGTATTGTTATTTGATCGGGATGGTGGGGGGCGGGCCCGCATGGAGTCGGCATGGTTCCAGGTTGGCCGCCGGCCAGGTGGGGGAGGGGGTGTATATTAGCCGGCCGCGTTGCGGTTGATCGGGAGTCTCTGTAGACAGAAGAAGGGGCGTGCGCTTCTCGGCGGGAGAAGAATGATCGAAATGAGAAGGAGCGTGAGGATCAGGAGGGCGAGGCTCGCGAGGGGGAGGATCAGGAGAGTGAGGGTCACGCAGATGATGATCAGGCGAGCGTGGAGCCAGAGGGCGAGGATGTGGGGGAGGGCCCAGAGAGTGAGGATGGCGAGAATGAACATCTGGAGGTGAGGATCGGGCGGGCGCGGCGCCCCCCGCTGCCATGCTGGCAATCTCCACCTCCTCCTACTTCTCCTCCTCCTCCTCCTCCTCCTCCTCCTCCTCCTCCTCCTCCTCCTCCTCCTCCTCCTCCTCCTCCTCCTCCTCCTCCTATCCTTATTCCTTATTAGAATATACTCCTACTCCCCCCTCAGGCCGGCCATTAGGGGCCACATCCGGGTGGTCCCATCCTAACCTGTAAAAAACAATACAAAATCAACATTTTTCTTATTTTTTCCTCTCGACATGGACGTCCTGTCGTCCACGGCGATAATCCATTGCAAAAAATACCACAAAGAGCACACGCGCGCGTTCATGTCAGAATCCTACCGAACACCGTGTGTTTGCAAGCATTTCAACATAAAAACATCAAAAACCCAATGCTTTTTTCACAAAAATTCTACAAATTTCCTGCCCGGGCTCTCTTGCTGAAATCATAGGAAAACCATAGGAATCTTAAGAATTCGGTCAAATCCAGCGATTTCACGTCATCGCGCGGTGCACTCGCGATGCTCTGTCATGCACCCAGGCCGCGAATCCTGTGCAAAAAATACCACGCGGGCGACATGCGCGCGCGTCGCCGCGAGCGCATGCTCAAATCCTTCTAGAGTCGTCGCCGTCATTGGCACCGTCGCATGGACGTCCTGTCGTCCACGTCGCAAAATGCATGGCAGGAATGGGACCCGGCTTACCGGGCCGTTCTCGACACGGCCACCTCTGGCTTCCTGCGGTGTACCGGGCCATTCTCGACTCGTCTGGCAATGCGTGCGCGGCATTCAACACGCGCTCGCCAGTTCCCGTCGGCAACCGCCATCGCGGCCGCATCAGCTGTACCAAACCGGCTGGCCGGTGTGACTTCGGCCCCCAGTTGTACCAGCTTTGCTTCTTATGTTGTGGGAGGGCGGGTGGGACTGGGCATGCCATGCTTGACTCGCTCGAGCTGGCTAGCTTTACCCCTACTCCTACTCCTACTCCTCCTCCTCCTTCTCCTTCTCCTTCTCCTCCTCCTCTATTTCCCGGATCTCGCCTGAAACGGAACAGGGGGTTCTTCTGAGGGTCTCCTTGGGGAGGCTCCCGGGCCCCGTTTTTCTCAGGATGTCGCACGTGAGGGCGTCAGGTTGGAATTCGTCGCCAGATTCGCCGGATCATTTCCTGGATCTCGCAAAAACAAAAACAAAAAAAAACAAAAAAAAAAAAAAAAAAAAAAAAGGGGTCTGAGGGCTTCTTTGGGGAGGCTCCGGGGGCCGGTTCTTCTGAGGATGTCGCCGGATTCGCCGGATTTCCCAGATCTCGCCGGAAACCAGCAGGTGGCCGGTTTTTCTGAGGATGTCCCACGCGAAGGCGTTGGTTTGGAATATCTCGCCAGATTCGCCAGGTTTCCCGGATCTCGCCAGAAACGGAACAAGGGAGGCTTCTGAAGGCCTCATTGGGGATTCAGCTAAGTACACTGGGATTCTAGTGGGGTCGAATTATGGTCAAATCGGGGCAGAGCGGATCCTAGATACAGCTGGTTACAATGGGTTTCTCGTTGGCTAATCGTGTTTACGATTTTACTCGAATTGAGCAGGTCCCATATCCAATTGATCTCAATGGAATTCCTATTGGAATATATGTAAACAGTAAGTGGCGCTTAGCAAATGTCATAGCCAGCTGATTCCCATTGGCTTATTCTTATTATTGGGACCTATATAATCGAAATGGAACCGAGCAGATCCCAGGTCAAGCCGATTCCACTTAGATTTCTCTTGGGATCTGATTGGAATTGAGCAGATCCCAGATCCATCTGATGGTGATGTCATTCCTGTTGGAATATACTTAGAATCGATAAGATCCCAGATCCAACCGATTTGAATTGGGTCTTATCGGAACCGAATTAAAACCGAGCTGACACTGAGTTGATCCCAGATCCAGCTGAGTCCAGTTTGATTACTATTGGAACCGAGTTAGACGTTAATTGGAGTTGGGCGTATCCAGGATCCAACTGAATCCAATTTCTTCCCAGAGCAATCGGAATACAATCGAATTGGAACTGGGTAGATTACAGATCTTGCTGATTCCAAATTGGCTCCTTTAGAATCTATCTGGGAGGGGGCAGGGCCCAGATACGCTTGGCTCCAATGCGATTCCTGTTGGAACAGCATTAGGGCCGAATTGGAACGGAACATATTCCAGGTACAGTTGATTTTATTAGTGGAATCGTATTAAGATTGGTTTCGACTTGGACAGGCCCCAGATCCAGCTGATTCCAAGTGGATCCCGAGTTTGAACCGAATTAGCATCACAATGTAAACGAACAGAGCCAGATCCAGCTGATTCCAACGGGATTCTTATTAGAATATGGTCAGAGTCGACTTGTAATGTGGCACGTCTCAGATCCAACTGGATCCACGTGGATTCCTTTTAGAATCGACGTCGGACCGAATTGGAACGGAGCTGATCCCAGATCCAGCTCATTCCCTTTAGATTCCAGCATGAGAAAACAGCGGATAAATGACGAACAGGACGGATTTATCAGCAGGCACGTGTGAAAAGAAGGCGGATGGTCAGTAAGACTACGAATGAAGATGTCAAAGACCGATGGTGGGTTCTGGGGCTTTTGGTGCGCCATTACATAAACACATACACATACGCACATACATGCGCGTACGTGCGTACATCTACACGTGCGTGTGTGTGTGTGTGTGATGGATCGGCCGAGTTACGTACACCCATGTGTGCATACATACGTATACGTATGCATACGTATATCTGGATAAACGTACACAGGTGTGTACACACATGCGCACTGCACCGAACCCAGCCGCCATTCCACCGACGGTACACGCATATGTGATGCACAGATTGGTCAGCTTCGCTGCGCACGGCGAGCACGCAAGAGCATCGCGTTCGAGGACGTTCCGTGTCAGCACCCATGTGTCGTACGCGATGTGTTGTTGAGATCGTCCGTCGTTTCGCAGTTCCCGTTCCCATGTTGATCCAGGGCTCGAGCTAAACGATGTTTTAGACGATGTCGTGGACCGCGTTCGTTTTGAATCCGAGGACGTCCCGTATCAGTACCCATGTGTCGTACGTGATGTGCCGTTGGGATCGTCCGTCTTTTCGCAGCTCCCGTTCCCATGTTGATCCAGGGCTCGAGCTAAACGACGTGTGGGCGATGTCGTGGATCGCGCTCGTTTTGAATCCGTTTCGCAGCGTCGTGGAACGAATCCAAACCGAAGGAGCACGAACACAAAGCGAACACAAACAACACGATTTAGCCCGAGCTTTGCAGAGTCTCTCCCGCGACCCCAGGCCCCAGGATGTTCCGCAATGTAGCAAAACGACATAGAGTAGTTCCAGGCATTTCGAGTTCGTCGTGGGTTTTTTTCAAAGCGATCGGGAGGCCACCGTGGGAGGTTCAGCACTCAGGAGATGTCTGAGACACCCCGAAGGCTGCCCCCATTTGCCCTCGTCTTCTACGCCTCAACTCCCCTCCCCTCCTTCCCCTCCTCCCCCCTTCCCCCCAGCCCCCATGAACAGGAGGAGCCAGGAGGAGGAGGAGATGGAGGAAGAGGAGCAACAGGCCTCTGCCCAGGGGAAGGAGGAGGAGGAGCCAGGAGCGAGGAGCGAGGAGCCAGGATGAGGTGGGCCAGGACGCCGATGATGAGGAGGAGGAGGAGGTGTTGGAGGAGGAGGAGGAGGAGGAGGAGGAGGAGGAGGAGGAGGAGCCATTCCCCTTGACGCTACGGCTACCTAACCAGAGCTTGTGCAATGCGAAGAGAGCGTTCGTCTCCCCTCCGCCACCTTCACCCCTTCCCCCCCAGGCACGCTCGGAGAGCGGCTGGATCTCCCCGTTCTTGGTCTGCGAAGGCCGCCGTGCGGGCGGCGAGGGACTGGGTGGCAGCTTCGTCGTCGTCACCTCCGTCCTCGCCTTCACCGTCGCCGCCGCCACCTGAACCGCTGTCGTCGTCGTCTTGCTGATGCTCCCTCCTCGTCCTCGTCCTCCTCCCCTCCTCCCCACCCATGCCCTCCCCGACAGCTGCTCAACATGAATGTTGTTTTCCTCCCTCACCTGAACTTATGTGTTCGTGGCCCCGCCACTCCAACGTAATGCTTTTCACATAGGAGGAGTTCAACATAAGATGTGTCACATGTATTGTGTATTGTCTCGCATCGGATTGGCCCTGTGCTTTCAAAAGCGATGTTCACGCCGCATCGTTGGCCTAACTCCAGGATCGGCACTTTGCCCCCGTCGTTCAGACTGGCGCTCTCGCCGCAGCGCGGGCTACAGTTCTGGAGTCGCTTTCGTCCTCGTCGTTGTCGCCCGCTCCTTTCCCTTCATCCGCCTTCCCCTAGTCGTCTTGCTCCTCCCGCTCCTGCTGCTGCTGCTGTTGCTGCTGCTGCTGCTCCTCCTCATCCTCCTCCACTCCCTCCTCCTTCGTCATACCCCTGTTCATCCGACACATCTTCCTCCTCCAGTGTGCACAGCTCCCCTCTCTGCTTATACATCGCACGATAGGGTCCCTTCCGGGATCCAGGTCCGCTAGGACACCCGTCGTCGGATAGAAGAATAGCAGCGCAATGGGAAGGGAGTGGTGGGAGATGTAAGATCTTAGATACGGCGCGCATGCTTTTCGCTTGTCTTTCTCCCCATACCCCCCCCCCATACCCCATCCCCCTCATTGTTTCTGGCCGCTCCGCCGCTGCCGCCGCCAGCGCCTCTGTAGTCGTCAACGTCGTCGCCGTCGTCCGTCCGTCGTCGTCGTCGTTTGCGTCCCCGTCGTCGTCTGCGTCGTTGCCGCAGTCGTCGTCAACGTCGCCGCCGCCTCCGTCGGCATGCCGTGCCCGTTGTCGTCGCCGCCGTAGTCGTCGGCGTCACCGCCGTCGACGACGTCGTCCGTCGTCGTTGTCCGCCAGTCCGCCGTCCGCGCGTCGTCGGCGCCGCCGTCGTCGACGCCCTCGTCGTCGTCGACGGCGCCCTCGCCGCCGCCGCCGCCATGCGCGCGCGCGCTGCCTCGGCAGGGATCGGCGCAGCGTGCGCCCTGGTGCTGGCGGCCTTCTACCGCTCCGAGGCGCGGCGGAAGGCGGCGGCGCTCGAGGCGCCGCGCCCCCGCGCTCGCCGACGAGCGATGGGGGCGGTCGGCAGCGGCGGCGAGGCCGGCAGCAGCGACGCCGACGGCAGCGAAGTCGGCGGCGGCGGCGGCGCGGTGGCGTCATGTCAGAGCCCCGAATCATCAGGGGTAACTCGGGTCAGGGATAACTCGGGTTCGCTTTTCGGGAATCCAAACCCGAGTTACCCCGGACCCGAGTTACCCCGGATGAATCGGGCGTCCAAGAGCCCCGAATCATCAGGGGTAACTCGGGTCAGGGATAACTCGGGCTCCTTTTTCGGGAATCCAAACCCGAGTTACCCCGGACCCGAGTTATCCCGGATAACTCGGGCGCCCAATCATGGCGCTGACGATGGCGGCGGCGGAGAGGACGACGACGGCGACCGCGACCGCGGCGGCGTCGAGGACGTCGATGCAGCTGGATAGTCGTTCGCCTGCCTGCGGGCTCTGCGCCATGTGGGCGTGCGGGCTACAGTTGCCTTCGATCGCGAGGCAGTCGTAGACGGGCGGTTCGTGTTGCTTCGAAGGACGGCAGCGTCGTAGATTGAGAGTCCGCTGGTAGGGTGGGCCCAGTGCGCCCTCCAGGTCGCAAGGCTGCGGCAGGGCATTAGTTCCCAAGCAGACACCCGCACGGACATGACGGAAAGGAGGCGTTGGTCCGTCGGCCGGGGGAGCTGCAGCAGCAGAGCCTACGGGAGAAAAGATGGAGAGGAGGAGGAGGAGGAGGGGAAAAAGAAGGGGAGAATGAGGAGGAGGAGGAGGAGGAGGAAGAGGACGGGGGGAGGAGGAGGAGGAGCAGGAGGAGGAGGAGGAGGAGGGAGGAAGAAGAGGAATACTAATCAGAATAAGAAGAATAAGCAGAAGCATAAGCATATGCAGAAGAATAATAAGAAGAAACAGAGGAGGAGGAGGAGGAGGAGGAGGAGGAGGAGGAGGGAGAGGAGGAGGAGGAAGAGGAGGAGGAGGGAGAGGAGGAGGAGGAGGGGGAGAGGAACGGCGGAAGCGGAGGAGGGGGAGAAGGAGGGCGGAAGAAGATGCGGCAGGACGAGAGGGCGGAGGAACCGAGGGTGCAGGAGGAGGAGGAGGAGGAAAGCGAAGGGCACACGGAAGAGGAGGAAGCAGCAGCAGCAGGAGGAGGAGCATGGCAGAGGGCGGTGGAGGGGGGGGAGCGAGGATGGAGAGGTCATCTTGCCTGCTGCCCTCTCCGCCGCCTGGCTGGTTCGGCGAACGCGGGCGCCGGGCGCCCGACCCGAGCCGCGGCCCCTGCCCTCTGCCCCCGAGGCCGTGAAAGCGTTCGGGAAGGATCGCGCGGCGCCTCGTGTGGGCCGGCAGGGGGCAGGGAGGATGCAGGGCCCTGACTCCCTCCTCCTTCCCTTCTCCGCCACGCCCCCCCTCCTGCCTCCCTCCTTCCCCCCTTCCCTCCCTTTCGTTCCCTCCCTCCTGCCTCCCTCCACCGCCTCCCTCCTGTCCCTCCTTCGTCCCTCCCCCCCTTGTGTCCCCTCCTCCTCTTCTCCGCTGTTCCCTAGCCATGTGCGCTCAAGTTCCAAACCATGCCCTGAGGCTTGAAGCTTGGTCGCTGCCAAGGGGCAGGCTCGAGAGCCCGCCCTTGGTCGACAGCTGACCGCGCGCGCGCGGCCGCGGGGAATGGGATATCTTGTGTGCTTAACTTGCCGCGATGCTGGGATAGTCTCTCGGATACCCGACACCAGCCCCCACCAGAAGTGCAAAGTTTGTATGACTCTTTTCCTGGCCGCTCCAGAGGACAGGCTACGGGAGGAAAACCAAACAGTTCCAGAGGACAGGCTACGGGAGGAAAGCCAGACAAGAAAGGGGGACGCGCTCGCGGAAGGGAGCCCAGCCCAGCCATGCCTGCCACGCCGGCTCTCTTCCCCACGCACTCCGCCCCTGCGATCTCTCGATGGGCGTCTTGAATCTTCTCTGGATGAGGAGGGTCAGGATCGTTTTGGAGAGGATTCTGGTGATGACGGTCTCGGCGATGGTGGCGGCAATCGTGGTTTCTGGGCTGATTATCGCGATGAGATCGACGACGACTACGATGATGACCGCGGCCTGGGCGTTGACGCTAACGGCAATGAGTTTACGGTTGCAGACATTGATGATATTATTCAAACTCCCCAGAGTCACTTGGACGCGCGCAGGGCTCTCCCATCGACCAGGCATATGTTGTCACGCATTGCAGTTCTCCAGGGTGAGTTGCAGTCACTTCGGGTTCAGAAGGCAGAGATGCTTACCGTTCCCCAGAAGCGCGCGGTCTATCATCACTGGGCCAGTAAGCAGTACGACAAGCTCACTGATCAGATCCGTGAGACCGATGAGTCCACCATGTCCTTGCAGGCTGGTCGCGTTTCCCCGGTAACAAGGCAGAAACAGACAGCCCGCGACACATTGCCTCCTGGGAGAACAAGTTCCAGGGCCTTCCAGCATCGGCGCCAGCATCTCAGGACTCGGATGGCCCTGCTGCCCCAGGCCCCCCGAGGCCCAAGTCAGTAGAACCCGTTCGCGTTCAGCCCATGGCCGTTGATTCCACATGTAGGCAGTCTAAGATGGGAGTTGGCCTTGGACGCACTTCCTTCCTGCCGCCGCCGCGGCCGAAACGCCCTGCCATGCCGCCCCCTGCTCTCTCTGCTGCAGTCGATCAGTCGGATGGAACAGACGCGGCCGACGCCGAGACTGCCGACGTCGCGAACGCCTCGGGCGCAGCCCCATCGGATCCATCGGAGCACGCTAGCGTTGTTGAGGGGAGAGGACGTGGAAAGCCTGCATCCACTGACGGCATTGCGCCCACGCCACCCTCCGCTCTACGGCAAGAGCTTCAGCGATGACGAGACCCCTCTTGGTTAATCAGCCTTCGTCAAAGTCAGAAAGCCTCGCCACGACTGGGTCCTAACGACGGTCAACCGAACCTCTCGGCCAAACGCATGATTATTCCTGGAGGCTTTTGGAGACCAGTTCGATGCAGTTGGCATTCGGGGACTCCGTCGCCCTGCTGAACCCGTTGAGTTCGCAGTCAACCGAGCCCGCAAGCACGGCAATCACGCCCGCGTGCGCCCTTCCATCCTCACGGCTAAAGGCGGGCTGAGCTCTGGTGTTGGTTCAGTACCGCGCTACGCCAGATCGTTTTCGGATATGGTCTTCGATTCCTCAGTCGCTATGCCTTCCGCTGAACGCTGAATCGTCAAGCTCTGGCATGGGGCGATTGATGCCGGGATCCCGCGGGCCAAGATTTTCATGCACACATGCGCTGAAGATCTGGGCGCCCGACATGTGCACCGAAAGAAAGGGTACAATGCCCAACAGCAATTCCTGTTCATTTTGAACAGGACTCGCTGTCCGCGCCGCCGCGGCCTGTGCCCATTCGAGACAGGAGGCCGCCTGCCAAACAGCGGCTGCCGTTGGTTTGGGACAACACTTGTCGCTGGGCATTGCACCCATTCTTTCGGTGCCCACTTCGGGCGTCCAAAGAAGATCGGAGCGCCCAACTCCCCCTGCAGGTAGCAGCTGGCACGAGGGCCATTGGCACCCCCTTCGTGGTTTCAGTTGATTTGAAGATGTCTCCCTGCGGGGTGCAGGCCACCGGATTCTCATCGCTTCTAGGTGGCGTCACTGTGGCACCATATTCCTGCGCTTATACATCCACAGGTGCCCAATCGATGATCTCTGATTTCGTTGTGCATCCAGTTTTAGCAGCATCAGCTACTCGTCCGGTCTGGGAATCGCCCCTGGCCCCCAAGCGCCAGCCTGTTGCCCTGACTCTACGTGGCAATGTGCAGTCTGATTTGGTAAGTAGATGTTCTTTGTCGTCCTCCTCTCGCGCCAGTTCAGAGGCCCGTTGGAAGTGCTCCCTGCCCGACGTCTCGGGGTGACTTTCCAGATCCTGATCAATTCGATACAGTAGCTAGTATTGAATGTCTCACGTCTGCTTGGCTGAAGACTTCGGCAGAGGAATTGTTTGGGTTCTATCAGCTACCTGACCCTCAGGTTTATAATAAGCGGGGTGAGTCTCTTGTCGCGATTCGGGCACCTCTTTCGCGGCTTTTCCCTGGTGGCGCGGCTACGTCTTTCGCAGGTGCGCTCTGGGGGTATCTCTCGAATCGTCTTGGGGCCCCCTTTGCATCTCGCTGGAAAGCAGCCCCTGCGAGCCTTCACTCGAGCGGCCCATGCTTTGCGCAGACATCGCCCCTCGTCGCGCGAAGGCCCCCCCCCCCCCCCCTCCCATCCAGATTGGCCGTGATGGCGCTACTATGCCAATCGTCTTGGTTCCCTGGGTCTTAGTTCTGCTGACTGGATTCGGGATACTCTGGCTGCGGTGGCTGCAGCTCTGGAGCGGCCGCCTTCAGCTAAGCGTTATCAGCCCTGGACTTCTTGGGCCATAGAATCAGTGCAGGTTGGAGGCCCTGCCGCGCTTGTGAAGGGTTCAGTTGGTTGGGCGGCTTTTCCGCATCTACACTGACCCTTGATGCCCCCACTGGCACGGTCTCTGGGCACCTCTTGCAGGCGCCCATGCTGGTCGCGGCCAGGACTTGCTGATGCCCCCTGCGCACCCAGCCGGTAGCCCCCTTGCGCCATAGGCAGATGCGTCGGACATGCAGAGCGTGAACAATTGACGGACTGGACGGAATACATCCTCATGACCACGCCCAACTCTCGGACTCAGCTCTTCTGGCACTGTTTGGCACATGGAGAGCAGTCTTGCGCGCGGGGAGGTTTCCTCCCATCCTGTCTGCGCGCATGATGAGTCTGCGACCGAAGCCTGGTGGTGGTGGTGAGCGCACTGTTGCATGATTCACGGCATTCGCGCGCAATGTCACTCGGTTCTTTCGGCACACGCATGGCGCGAGTTGGGCTCGACACCGCCACCGCCCGCGCAAGTGGCGCGCGCGCTCACTCGCGCCAGCAATGTGCGCGGCGCACGGGGGTGCTTATAGAGTGCGCAGTTGCACGGGGCATGTCTGCGTTCTCTCTTTTGTTTGACATTAAGAAAGCGCACTAGCAGGCTAGGCACAAGCTTCTTACCAAACGTGCACCGCAGTTTGGTTTCAACCCTAGATTGTTGCGAGTGTTCTTGTCTCTCTACAGATCGCCTAGCGTTGTATGCTTGCGCCAAATCGTGGGGACTTGGGCCTGTGCGGGTATCACGATTGTTGCTGGTTGCTCATTTGCAGATCTGCGCGCACAGTATGCTAGTTCCCGAATTGGATTGTTTCGGCGGTCTTTCCGAGCCTTCAATTGGGGCTGGTGGCTGATGACGCTCAGGCCCTGGGGATCGGAAATGAGAGGGAGCTCTTGAAGCTGCCCTCGGATGCCCCACGCCTCCTTATGGGTAGGCTCGCCTTCTCTGCCCGACTTCCGCTGGCCGAGAAGGAAATCGCGCCCCTCGCCTCTGACCCGCCGTTGGCCAGGAGTATGACGGCAGAGACCCCGCGCCGATCAGGGGCCGTTAAGTTCTCATGTCGAAACCTCGGCATTGACTTCCAGCTGCGCAGGGGGCGTCGGAGTCGCCCACTTCTGAATGTCAGGCTGAGGGCAGCCATGGACAAGGCCCGTCGTCTATTGCGTCTGCAGAAAGGAGGTGCCACGGCGGCTGGAAACATTAACGCGAGCCTGCGTCCTACAGTGCCTGATGGCATTGATGTGGTTGGTTTGAGTACTTACCATATCCAGCATATTAGGACCATATACCATGCGGGGCTCGGCGCAGGCAAGCGCAGATCTGTCGCTATGGACCTGGCTCTACAGAGTGTTACTGTCCGGCCTTGGACGCTCGCGCAGAAGTAGTGCGCCTTTGGGCTGTCTCTCGTTGGAACCGCGTCTTTCCCGAGGGCATCATTGATGCAGAGTCGCCCCTCGTGCTCGCGATTCCGTTTCACGTGTCGCTCTCTGGACATACCCACAGGGGCCAGGCCAGATACTGGCCGCCACCCAGCCCAGGATTGGGCGGTCGGTCGTTGCCCCAGCCCAGCGGCAGAACTCCCTTGGGGTGGATTTGCTTATTGCAACGACTACGCCGCGTGACCTGGTAGCTCTTGCGACCCGCGATGCCTGCGCGCGGGCCTGGAAGCAAGCCTCTGTGCGCCACCCATCCTTCGGTCATGTGTCGCCCCCCCCCCCCCCGGTCCTGCCTCCCCCCTCTCTCTCTTTTGTCCACGAAGACCGATGGTTGGGGCGCGCTGCAGCAGCGAGCTCCGGGGGCATTCTTGGCGGGGGGAATCTATTTCAAACCGAGGTGCCCCATGTGACAGTTGATCCCAGCTGACCCTGTGTTTTTTTCCCCGCATTGCATGAGTGCGATGCCCTCAGTG